CTTTTTCTCTGCACAGCCGTTGCTCTTCGGGTTGTTGTCGGATGAATCAACGACCATGTCCGCGCCGTTTTGTTGGTTCCTCTGCGCGCCGCCATCCTGGTGACGATTCTGGGGGGTCCATCTATCGGGTTTCTTATAGCACAAAAACCGGGGTTGCCATTCCTTCTCACAATACCTCATTTTGGCACCAGCACCCGATTTGTCCCCACGTCCAGATTCCGCACCACGACTTCAACCGGTACTTCCCTGTTTGTTGGAGTGGTCGTCCTTCTTTGCACCCCGTCCATCACCACCGAAGCCACGTCCTCTGCCACGTCGGCTCCCTTGCATTCCGCAGCCACTGCTGCCGTTGGCTCCACCCCTCAGTTGGTGGCGACAGAAGTCGTCCTCCAGAATCGTTGTCCGAACCCACTCGAGCGTCCACAAGCTCTGGTTTTGTGGCAGGCTCAATCTCGTGAACTGAAGCCACGATTCTGGCAGCAGCGACAGCATCTTCAAGCACTTGGTCTGCTCCTGATAGGTGATTCCTGCGGTCGCCAACTTTTCGTAGAGGTCGCGCATTTTTTCTAAAAAAGGTTGCACCAGCTCTCCCTCGCTCAAGCACAACGCGGAACCAACCACCCCCCAGCTCCCCCCCTTGGCCCCCCCATTCCTTTGGCTCTCCGAGCTTCATTCACCCATCTCATTCACCTCTCCCAGCCCCTTTGCCCCATTTTCCGCACATCTCCCAGCCCACCCGTCATTTTATTCTCTGCCCCCAGCCCCTGTCCCCTCTCATCTCTCCTGCCCCACTCCCCCATTCCCCTCCACCTAAGCTATTGTATTGCATGCGTTGTGGGGAGAGGAGTTTCCAGCTAGCTAACAATATGAATACGAGGTTTGGGTGTCCTACATAACAAGAAAATGGCAAAACGTCTAATATTGCACAAGCATGCTGTATTTCATCGTAGTCATATTGCTCTGATTTTGACAGGGTGGAAAAAAACTCATACTGACAAAACGGGTGACGTCAAGAAGGCACACTGATTACTAAGAGTGCCCTCAATCCAACTTTGGGCCCTGAACTCAATGCGATACTCCTAAGAAAGCATCTGAGACAAAGAGCCACAAGGTCAGTCAATTAGAATAAGTAGACAATATCCAATTAAGTACAGTATGCAGAGACTAGTATTCATAACAAGTGCAGTCCTACCGGGACAACGCCAAGCTGTGTGCAGAGCTGCTAATGATCATGAGGCGAGAGCGTGTTGGTGAAGTTACCAACGTTGTTGACCCCTAAGGCTAAGTGTACTATGCGTGCCTGGCCGCAGTGCTGCATCTCTCACAGTAAGAAATACCGCAGACGGATCATAGTTTTGCTATCAGTGAATAGGACCGGGACAAAACAAGGCGGCTCACTCAAGTCAATGAGCAAAACGTCAACCAGCGGAGCTCCTGAGCAGCCATAGCACCAGCCGTTCAAGTTAAACATAGGTTACTAGCCTGTGGAAACGGTGTTGAGAAATTTGAGGCATAAGGAAATATCGAGAATGAAGGGATTGTACTAATTGACAAGAACATGTAGGCAAAAAAAAAAAAGGAAAATAGGTGCACCACTATACAAGGTATACTTTACACTACGACTACACTACGGGTAGTTATATAAAATTATAGAAATATATTGCCTGCAACGAGAACCATATGCTAAATACGTGCTGAAGGGGTACACCAAGGTGCAGCGAAAGAAGGATCAGGCAAGTGAGGAGGAGGGACCATGATAGGAGAGGATACTAAATGCACGTCAGTTTTGAGTGCCTGTCATCATGACAACCTGCCGAGTGCTCGTGCTATTTGTGCTTGCATTATTAGCAGGAGCAAATGTCATTTCGCATGGCTGTTGGATTTATCATCTCTGTGGTTTTTCTCCAAGTCTACATGTTTTTTCATGCAGGAGAAATTGAGAACTTTCCAACGATACCAAGATCGCCTTATTCCGACCAAGATCGCCCAAGGGCATGGCCAACATTCCATTCTCGTTAATACTCCCCTGCCGCGCTTACGCTTGGGCTCCTCAGCCAATACAGCAGTACTCCACGGAAAAAACTCGTCCTCGGCGTGCACCCCGCAATCAGCACGTCGTCATCACACCAACAATGCAGAAGGGCACGGCACCTTCTGCTGCACCTCGTCGTCACCGTCGCCGACATCGGCCAGGCGCACTTGGCCGATCGCAACAGAGCGCCGGTTGAAGGCCGGAAAATGCAGCGCCTTTGTCAAGAAGTCAGCCGGCTCCTCGGTGGTCGTGATGTATTTCAGCACGAACTTCCGGCGCCTCACCATGGGCTGCAGCCAGGCTTAGCAACGCTCCATGTGCTTAAGGTTGTCTGTCCGTCCCAAGCCCTTAGCGACCATGATGGCCGACTTGTTGTCCACACGAAGGACAGCCGGCTTCCCAGCGTCGAGCTGCTCGAACTCCGCAAGGAGGAAGCGGAGACGTTGCCCCTCCTTGCCAGCATCCGTGGCCGCTACGTACTCCGACTCGGTCGACGATAGTGTTGCGCACTTGATGCTCAAGCTCGACCAGGAGACAGCGGCCCCTCCGACAGCGGCCCTCCTGTACTACAGCAGCGGTGACTGCTTCAGCTGGTAGAGGCTCTTCAGCAGCTTGCACACCCGGCCAGTCCCGTCGTCGAAGTAGTCCGGCTGGTACATGTCGAGTTTACTCTGTAGGAAAGCGTTCTTCATGTCGCGTTGCATCAGGTTGAGGTCGAGGACGGCGACGATGCTGAGGATGATCCTTAGCGTGACGTAGCTACTCACTGGCGAGTACGTCTCGTTGTAGTCAGCACCGTACACCTGCGTGAAACCCTTCACGACCAGCCTCGCTCTCGCGCTCAAACTCAGATTGCACGACATCCTGCCGTCTGTTTGTACGAATATGCGTGTGCGAATGCATTTGCGTATGAATGGTGTGTTCGTGTGTTTGCTCGCTTTCACAATTTTTGCTTGAAGTATTTGCGCATCAATGCGTGAGTACCTGCAAATGCTTCAAGCGAAAATTGCTAAAGCAAACAAACACACGAACATACCATTTATACGCAAATGCATTCGTACACGCATACTCGTACAAACATACACCAGGATGTCATGCAATGTGAATTTGCACCCAACAACCCATATGGATGGTACTACGAGTAAGTGTGTTACTCTTCCATATGTATGGTATTGCAAGTAAGTATGTTGCTTACCGATATAGATGTTAACAAGAGTAAGTGCATTGCTTGCGCATATGGATGGTACCAGGAGTAAGTGTACTTACTCATATGGATGGTACCAAGTGTAAGTACGTAACTTAAAAAAAAAAAAACTCATCTGGTAAGCATGAAATATTCAAATCAAAAGATAACTCTACATATGGGGCTTTTTGATAAAGCAAGCCATCTAGGGGATGACAGGAAATTTAATCATTCCTTATATATTCAGCATTTTCAGCAATATGCGGCATTTCTTGTTCTTCATTTGGGTAACGTTACCTATGTTTTTACAAAATATCCTACAGCCCATAAGTGCTTACCCCAGTATCGCTTTCTCAACTCCTGCTGAATTTTTTTGAGGTTTTTTCTTTAAAATATTGTACAACCTTACTTATACTCTGATATGTCGGAACTGAAACATATGTGTACATGATTTTAAAGCTACTTATACCACTTGATATCTCAGCTTTATTATCCATATGGATGGCACCAAGTGTAAGTATGTTACTTATCTATATGCATGGTACAAGGAGTAAGTTTGATACTTATCCATGTAGATGACACCAAGAGTGTGTGTGATACTTACCCATATAGACGGTGCCTAGAGAAAGTGCGTTACTCTTCCATAAGGATGGTAACCAGAGTAAGTGCGTTACTTACCAATATGGATACCAAGAGTAAGTGCGTTTCTTTCCCATAAGGATGGTACCAGAAGTAAGTGCGTTACGTACCCATATGGATGGCACCAAGAGCAACTTCGTTACTTACCAATATGGATGGTAACCAGAGAATAAGTGTGTTACGTAGCTATATCGATAGTACCAATAGTATATAAGTTACTTACCCATATGGATGGTAGCAGGAGTAAGTGCGTTATTTATTCATATGGATGGTACCAAGAGTAGGTGCGTTATTTACCCAAATGGATGGTACGATGAGTAAGTGCGTTACTCTTCCATATGGATGATACCAGTAGTAAGTGTGATACTATGGATGGTACCAAAATTAAGTGGGTTACTTACCCATATGGATGGCACCAATAATAAATGCCTTACTTATCCGTATGGATGATACCGCCATTAAGTTCGTTACTTACCCATATAGATGGCACCAAGAGAGCATACGTAATTTACCAATATGAATGGTACCAAAAGTAAGTGCGTTACTTACCCATATGTCTGGTACCTACAGTAGATGTGTTACTTACCCATGTGGATGGTACCGAGATTAAGTATGTTACTTGTCCATATGGATGGCACTAAAAGTAAGTGTGGTATTACCCATATAGATAGTAATTGGAGTAAGTGCGTTACTTATCCATATGGGTGGCACCAAGAGTAAGTGCGTTACTTGTCTATATAGATAGTACCTTAAGTAAGTGCGTTACTTACACATATGGATGGTACCAGGAGTAAATGTGTAACTTACCTATATGTCTGGTACCTAAAGTAGATGTGTTACTTACCCATGTGGATCGTACTGAGATTAAGTATGTTACTTACCCATATGGATGGCACCAAATGTCAAACATATATGCTATAGTCTGTGTAGGCTGTAGTGGGGTAGGTAATATAGGGTACAACACTTTTAGGTTTTCCTACTTGTACCCACCTGCTTGCTAGTTCATCCATTCCTCGTTCTTATTTTCACATGGTATCAGAGCAAGGAGAAGGACCAGGCAGAGGAGAGGCTGGCTCTAGCTGCGACTGGGGCTGGGCAGGCTATGGACACAGTAAGGGAAGAGTGGGACCAGTAGAAGGCGGGAGGTCAAGAACCTGCTGAAGAAGCGGAACGAAGTACGGCCGCGGCCGCACAGCCTCCAGAACCAGCAGAGACAGCTCCAGCACCCCCAGCGCCAGGGTCTCCAGCTCCTACTCCCGCAGCACCACCAGCTCCAGCACCTCCAGCAGCTCCAGCTCCAGGAGCACCTCCAGCAGCAACCCCGGCAGCACCACCAGCCCCAGCAGCTCCAGTACCTCCAGTACGAGCACCTCCGGGACCAGCGTCTCCAGCTCCTCCAGCAGCTCCAGCGCCAGCAGTACCTCCAGCAGCTCCAGCTCCGGCAGCACCCCCAGCTCCAGCAGCTCTAGCTCCGCCAGCAGCTGCAGCTCCTCCAGCAGTACCTCCAGCAGCTCTAGCAGCACCTCGCTGACGTCTCCAGCGACGAGCAAACCACTCGCGCAGCTGCTGTAGGGAGAGAGGCTCCCGCCGAGACGAGGCCCCCGCAAGAACTCCAGTAGACTCAGCACCCCCAGTCTCAGCGACCGCAGGCTCAGCACCCTCAGACTCAGCACCCCTAGGCTCAACATCCTCAGACTTAGCAACCCCAGGCTCGGCACCCCCAGACTCGACACGCTCAGGCTCAGCACCTCCAGGCTCCAGACACTCAGGCGTAGCACCCCCAGGCTCCACACGCTCATGTTCAGCACCCCCAGCAGCACCACCAGAGCCAGCCTCTCCTCTGCCTGTTCCTTCTCCTTACTATGGACCTACTAGAGGTCTTACGGAGCGTCGTGAGCCTGAGTCTCGTCCTGCGTTGCCTGTGTCTCGTCCTTCGTCGCCTGTTTGCGCTGTTCGCACTGGTCGTCGTGTCCCGCGTCCGCGTCCTCCTCCTGTCCCAGGCACGCACGAGATGACACTTTGTCCTTCCAGTGCTCCACTACGCGTCCCCTTGCCGTTTCCTCCTGCGTCCTCTCTTCCTGCCCTTGCTGACCCGGAGTCTGACTCTCTTCGTGCTGCTAGTCCTACTATCACGCGTCTCCTGGCCACTGCTGTCACTGACCCTTCCTTTGAGTCAGCTGTTGCGTCTGCCTTAGTTGCTGAGCTTGTCGACTTTGCTGCTCACTGTCGTCTAGACTACGCTGCCAGTCTTGTTGCTGAGTCTGAGTCTGAGTCTGTCTGTCCTCCGTCCGTCGGGGGTGAGTGTGCTCTTGGCAAGGACGTCCTTGAGGACAGGCAGGAGGAGTTTGAGTGATTTGCCGCTGCTTTACCTCATCTTGTGTCCATGCTGATTGCCCCTGAGGGAGACCCGGATGCACCAGACATCCCGACCCCGCGCTCTTACACTGAGAAAATAGAAATCGCTACTCCTCTCAGTGGCAGACAGCCATGGACGCAGAGATGGCTTCCTGGAAGTCCTCAGGCACCTACGTCGACGATGTCCCCCTGCCTGGGGCGAACATCATCATTGGCATGTGAATTTTTAGGGGGAAGCGGCTGCCGGGTTCTCCGCCTGTCTTCAAGGCACGTTACGTTGCACGAGGCTTCAGTCAGCGAGAGGGAGTTGACTTCTTCCAGACCTTCTCCCCCACCCCGAAGATGACCACTCTTCGGGTTCTGCTGCACATAGCTGCTCAGGGTGACTAGGAGCTGCACTCTCTTGACTTCAGCACTGCTTTCCTACAGGGCAGCCTGCACGAGGAGATCTGGCTGCGCCGCCCACCTGGCTTCACTGGGTCGTTTCCTCCTGGTACCCAGTGGAGCCTCCAGCGGCCAGTCTACGGTCTCCGCCAGGCGCCCCGTGAGTGGCACGACACACTGAGGACGACCCTTGCGGCTCTTGGCTTCGCTCCTTCCACTGCTGACCCGTCGCTGTTTCTGTGCACCGACACCTCTCTGCCGCCATTCTATGTCCTCGTGTACGTCGACGACTTGGTCTTTGCCACCTCTGACGCTGAGTGACTCGCCCACGTGAAGTCAAAGCTGCAGAAGAGACACACGTGCACAGACCTGGGTGAGCTGCACAGCTATCTTGGCTTGCGGATCACCCGGGACAGAGCACAGTGCACCATTACTTTGACTCAGTCACACATGGTGCAGCAGGTCCTTCAGCGCTTCGACTTCACTTACTCCTCGCCTCAGCCCACTCCTCAGCCTACTCCAGATGGTAACTGGAGTAAGTGCGTTACTTATCCATATCGGTGGCACCAAGAGTAAGTGCGTTACTTATCTAAATAGATAGTACCAAAGGTAAGTGCGTTATATATACATATGGATGGTACCAAGAGTAAGTGCGTTACTTACCCATATGTCTGGTACCTAAAGTAGATGTGTTACTTACCCATATGGATGGTACCAAAAGTAAGTGCGTTATTATCCATATAGATGGTAGCTGTAGTAGGTGCGTTACTTATCCATATCGGTGGCACCAAGAGTAAGTGCATTACTTACACTAAGGGATGGTATCAAGAGTAAGTGCATTACTTACCCATATGTCTGGTACCTAAAGTAGATGTGTTACTTACACATATGGATGGCACCACAAGTAAGTGCGTTATTACCCTTATAGATAGTAATTAGAGTTAGTGCGTTACTTATTTATATGAATAGTACGAAAAGTAAGTGCGTTACTTACACATATGGATGGTACCAAGAGTAAATGCGTTACTTACCCATATGTCTGGTACCTAAAGTAGATGTGTTACTTATACATATGGATGGCACCACAAGTAAGTGCGTTATTACCCTTATAGATAGTAATTGGAGTAAATGCGTTCCGTATCTATATGGATAGTACGAAAAGTAAGTGCGTTACTTACACATATGGATGGTACCAAGAGTAAATGCGTTACTTTCCCATATGTCTGGTACCTAAAGTAGATGTGTTACTTACCCATATGGATGGTACCGAGATTAAGTATGTTACTTACCCATATGGATGGCACAAAAAGTAAGTGCGTTATTACCCATATAGATGGTAACTGGAGTAAGTGCGTTACTTATCCATATCGGTGACACCAAGAGTAAGTGCGTTACTTACACAAAGGGATGGTATCAAGAGTAACTGCATTACTTACCCATATGTCTCGTACCTCAAAAAGATGTGTTACTTAGACATATGGATGGCTCCAAAAGTAAGTTCGTTGTTACGCTTATAGATAGTAATTGGAGTAAGTGCGTTACTTATCCATATAGATAGTACGAAAAGTATGTGCGTTACTTACACATATGGATGGTACCAAAAGTAAGTGCGTCTCTTACCCATATGTATGGTACCTACAGTAGATGTGTTACTTACCTATATGGATGGTACCAAGATTAAGTAAGTTAGTTGCCCATATGTATGGCACCAAAAGTAACTGTGTTATTACCCATATAGATGGTAACTGGAGTAAGTGCGTTACTTATCCATATTGGTGGCACCAAGAGTAAGTACGTTACTTACACAAAGGGATGGTATCAAGAGTAAGTGCATTACTTACCCACATGTCTGGTACCTAAAGTAGATGTGTTCCTTACACATACGGATGGCACCAAAAATAAGTGCGTTATTACCCTTATAGATAGTAATTGGAGTGAGTGCGTTACTTATCCATACAGATAGTACCAAAAGTAAGTGCGTTATTTATACATATGGATGGTACCAAGAGTAAGTGCGTTACTTACCCATATGTCTGGTACCTACAGTAGATGTGTTACTTACCCATATGGATGGTACCGAGATTAAGTATGTTACTTACCCATATGGATGGCACCAAATGTAAGTGCGTTATTACCCATATAGATGGTAACTGGAGTAAGTGCATTACTTATCCATATCGGTGGCACCAAGAGTAAGTGCGTTACTTATTTAAATAGATAGATCCAAAAGTAAGTGCGATATTTACACATATGGATGGTACCAAGAGTAAGTGCGTTACTTACCCATATGTCTGGTACCTAAAGAAGATGTCTTACTTGCCCATATGGATGGTACCGAGATTAAGTATGTTACTTACGCAAATGGATGGCACCAAAAGTAAGTGCGTTATTACCCATATAGATGGTAACTGGAGTAAGTGCGTTACTTATCCATATCGGTGACACCAAGAGTAAGTGCGTTACTTACACAATGGGATGGTATCAAGAGTAACTGCATTACTTACCCATATGTCTCGTACCTCAAGTAGATGTGTTACTTACACATATGGATGGCACCAAAAGTAAGTGCGTTATTGCCCTTATAGTAATTGGAGTAAGTGCGTTACTTATCTTTATAGATAGTACGAAAAGTAAGTGAGTTACTTACACATATGGATGGTACCAAGAGTAAGTGCGTTACTTACCCATATGTCTGGTACCTAAAATAGATGTGTTACTTACCCATATGGATGGTACCGAGATTAAGTATAGTCATTTGTATCACCCAATCAACTGCGCATAACTGTGCATTCTCGCCTGGTCGCCTCGCCTAGTGTCGCGATGTATTCAATTTTTGTGACGCGAGGCTGGCAAAATGTTTTGACGCGACTTGGGAAAAATGGCATTGAGACACTTGTGTTCCCACATGAATGTTCCCTAAATACCTGTTAGAATCCCAACCACTTAGACTATTGGGATAAAAGGGCGTGTTTGTGTTGCGGGTTTGTGCGCCCATAACCCCCCAGACGAACTCGCCTGTAACCCCCCCTATGATCAATCGGGCATCTACAGTGCAGATCTAGTGACAATACCCTGATTATCTTTGCTATCGGCCACATTTTGGCAGTTACCCATATCTTTTTAGTGCATTTGATTTATTAACATGATGACGAATGTGTAGTTTTCTGTCAAACTATGTTACCGTATGTAGTTTTAGATAGTTTGTCTATCGTGATACATAATTACTCTCTCAACACTCTTCTTATACCCCTCCCCCCTGTTGGGCTGAAAAAATAGCCTTAGGACCTTTTAGAGTTCAGTCTTGATAAGTGTTGCAACGGAAGTCCATGAATTCCTGTGCTAGTCGGATGTGAGAACAAACATTGATAATAATGAGATGGTACAAGAGATATACATGTTGGAATTATGGTTAATTCTGGTTGCTCCAATAAACATATGTAGTGCTAGATCTCCACTGTAGTAGTGTAGAATAGATGATTGGGTTGGGAGAACTTGTGATGTACACTCTTTAGAGTGTACAACCTCCCAAACCCTATAGGTCAGAGTTTTCTCGTGTTGGAACTTCACTTCTTGGAAACACTCTTGGTTTTATCATGGTTCATGCCCAAGTTGGCTCATAAGACTCCTAAGCTTTAGGAGGAAATTGTAAGACTACTATAGCTTCCGCTAGTATCTCAGACCATTCTAACATGGTGTCAGTGCAAGGAAGGCCTAGCAAACGGTTGGAATAGGAGCTACTAAAGGGATTGGACCATAATACCTTGGTGGAAGCTAAATAGCTTCCATCCCTCCCGAAGGGCTGCCAAAATTGCACCGTGGCGGACACTTAACGTGGGAGGGTAGGAGGAGAGAAGAAACCCGCTAAAAACCGTGTGGATATATTCGGGAGGAGGAGATGAGCGACATCCATTAACGGAGAGGCTCGGTCAACGTTGGCCGATCAAGGCGTGCAGCATATTGCTAGAAAGGTCGCGACACGATATACAACAGTTGCCTCGGGCTTGTCACCAATTAACCAGCGGATCAGGCACAATTCGCGAAATAAAGTCGGTCGACGAAT